ATAGTAATTCATTAGGATCATAAGACAAAAAAATATAGACATTAGAGATGGGCGGTTTTACCGATAAACCATATTTTTTTCCATGAGCTGGTACGTACGGCGGAAGGTCGCAGAAAACCGGGGTTTTTTTCCGTTCATATAAAACACTATTTTCTTTTAACAAAGATATTTGCTAGCACAATTTTTGATTTCACTAGTTTTTCTTGATATGGTTTCTTTAAAATGCTGCTATCCAATGTAGATTGAATGAAGCAAATACTCGAACAAAAAGTACTGGCAATGGCATTGATGATTAACAGATTTGTTGTCAACTTGTTCAGTTTTGAAATTTTCAATTTCATATGGAAGTTTGTGAAGGATATCATCTCAGTTTACTATTCCTTCTTGTGATGACTGATGAGTGATGACTAGTGATGAGTGCTTTCGCAAACTAAAACTTGCACTCCTAGTAATTTAATACCTGAACATGCTGAATAATGATGAATTCAAGAATCTCACTGCTCAGCCGTGAATCTTGTAATATTTCTAGTCAATGTGATTTTTGTGAAGTCATTTTGTGATATTGTCAAGTTATGTTAGCTTAATGTCGTTGACATATTGGAATTAACAAGATTGTTTATTTTGTTCATAATGTTTGAGTTGTTGAACTTGACAGTGAGCTCAGTTTTGAATTTTTCAGATTTCATCTTCTTGTGGAAGTTTCCTGTTGTGATGACTGAAATTCACAGAATAAAAAGAAGTCTAAAACACTTTTGTATTTTCATACTTGTTTATTATAGTTATGACATTACTTCATGGTCCAATTCATTCAAAATCATTAAACAAGACAATCGGATTCATTAGTTAGTAGTTACTGCAGCATGGTATACCGTGGTAAATACCGTGGTACTTGAACAAAAACCTTGGTATACCCTGGTACTGAAATTTTCGTGGTACCCAACCCTAAAAGACATATATTGACTTTTTTCAGTCCTAACATTTTGTATCACTGGCAGAACAAGTTAAACTTCAAATTGTATTCATTTGTTATCATAATAATGAAAATGGAAACATTAACGAGTAAAAAATATTTTATCTTTGCTGTGTAAGGATATACATATTTTATCATGTAATGGAGGGAGTTATCGGTGCAATAAACAGTCAGAGACATCACATGTACGCAAGACAGCCTACCGTCTCTTGTTCGCGAGACAGGGTGCGCCCTGCGGCACTAAGTGAAGCGCTTGGCCCTAATTACTTCAATCACCGTGGAACCAACTCAATTGGGTGCGAACACTGCGCGGGGTGATTAAAATCCCCAAGCGTGGTGGTTACTTGACAGTCGTGAATAAACAGGCTCTCGATCTCGAAAGGTTCCAAAACCCTATCCCTCTCCCAACCCTAACCCTAAGGATCGGAAAGGGTGCCATACCCTAACCCTAAGGATCGGAAAGGGTGCTAACCCTAAACCCAAAGGATTGTAAAGGTTCCCTAACGCTAACGCTAACCCCTAACCCAAGGATCGTAAAGGGTGCTTAACCCTAAGGATCGTAGAGGGAGCCATACCCTAACCCTAAGGGTCGTAAAAGGTTGTCTGACTCTAAAGATGCGTCAGCTCCCTAAAGATCGGAACCCTAAGGATGGTGAAGGATAAACCTTTTATTCTGCAAGTTGCAAAGTTGATTATATATTTCTGTCTAACATTAGTTTGATCACTCTATTGATCTACTGTCCAACAAAATATACCAAATCATCCTATGTTGATGTATACTGGGACGTTCTGGAACATTTTGAAACTAGTATGAACCCTACCGCCATTGCATCTTGCATGAATCAACACTTACTTCATCATGAGTAATCCTTTTGTAACATTATTTTCATGAATAACACTTTCAGACACGTTGTCTGTGTGACATGCAGAATTTCCCTGTCTCCCTCTCAGGTAGTCACTTGTACACGTAACGGGGGACCGTCTCGAGTACACGTTACATCCTCTACAGATAGCAATCTGATAAACTTGGTGTCCAAATCTGATAAATATGCAAATTAGGTCAATACACAAACTACTTTCACAAAACTCCATACACGAAGTGTGGATAAAATGTTAATATTTCATTGATGACAAGAATTTCAATCTCAATTTCAATCGATTACAACAAAGCAGACAACGAATCGATTCAGTCAGGTATCAGAAACTGAATTAATGATTGCCTAAGGAATTTCAAATTTTCTGTTGAAAACTGCCTGATTTTGTTGTTCTTTTTAGAACAAAGATCTTATTTTAAGCAAGAGTTATGCGTGCACTATATTAGTGACTGGTCACATTAACTCACAACCATATGCCGCTGTCATGAACGACCTTCACCTTGGTGTACCACTAAGTATTCTTATGCTAATGCTCAATTCTCTTCATATAAATTCACGTACATTTGTTTCTATTTTTAGAGTAGTATTAACATGATTAAGAATGACATTATATGATAGAGAGATTATTAACCGAGTGTATTTTGGCAAGCATAATACACAATCTTTTTTCCTAATATATGAGTGAATGAGTGAGTTTTAGTTTTATGCCGCTTTTAGAAATATTTCAGCAATATCACGGCAGGGGACACCAAAAATGGGCTTCACACATTGTACCCGTGCGGGGAATCAAACCCTGGTCTTCAGCGTGACAAGCCAACACTTTAACCACTAGACTAACCCACTACAACCCAATCTAATATATGATATTAATGATAGGAAACACACTCAGTTAATAATCTCTATATACTTATACTACCAATTGTGCTTGTGGGTGGCACAGCAGATATCGCAACACAGTCAAGAATTCTGGGATATCATCCGGGTAGTTGCAGGGAAAAAAACAATAACAAAAGCAAGAACCATTTCCGTGGAATTGCTCTGACTCAGTGTCCCTTTAATTTGAGGAACTAAATTCTGCAGTTAAACTTTACGGGAAAGTTGTACAATTTATCAAGTTTTCAAATTAGTCAGAGGAAATTACCACAGCACCTGCACTTAAAGCTACAACCGAGTGCTAATCACTTGGTAGGTAAATAATTTGTGACACTGTGCTTGTAGTAAACGGCAGTAAAGTGTTGGCTTTTTCAGAATTAGAATTAGGTAAGACTACAGAATACCCTATACCTACCGCCATGGTTGAAAGCACACAAGTTTATTTTTGGTTAGGGTAAGGTTTAGGGTTTTAGGTTAGGGTGACGTGACACTAAACAATATGGCTGGTAGGTATCCGGTATTCTGTAGGTGTACCTTAGAATTATATTAATGAAAAAATAAGAAGTGGTTATTAATGTTTCAATTGTTTGGTGTTTGACATGCTGATTTAAGTTAAATCTGATCACTATTATTAGAACAGGCTAACTAACGTCATTAATGTCCTGCTAATAGAAATCAGAAAGCAGTGTGCCTGGGAAAACAGTCTTCCCATTCAGGAGGTCAAGTTACGGGAGTACGGCACTTTACAGGGCGCACTGTTTCAGATTAATTAGCGCTGCTGGATCAAGCGCAATGGTTTGTTTACATTTCTTGCGCTTCCGCACCACTGTGCCACGCCCTTCCCACTCATTTTGTTTTTCACGCCATTATGTCTTGGACTGTACTGACGAGAACCGGATGGATCAAAATGTGTTTCAATTGGATATAATAGGATTAAACTGCCCTAAGGTAAGGTCTAACCCTAAATAAGGATGGGAAAGGGTCCCTAACCCTAAGGAATCAGAAAGGTTCCAAAACCCTACCCCTTTCCCAACCCCAACCCTAAGGATCGGAAAGGGTGCCATACCCTCATCCTAAACCCTAACCCTAAGTATTGGAAAGGGTGCTAACCTTCAACCCTAAGGATCGTAAAGGGTGCCTAACCCTAAAGAATCAGAAAGGTTCCAAAACCCTATCCCTCTCCCAACCCTAAGGATCGGAAAGGGTGCCATACCCTAACCCTAAGGATCGGAAAGGGTGCTAACCCTAAACCCAAAGGATTGTAAAGGTTCCCTAATGCTAACGCTAACTCTAACCCCTAACCCAAGGATCGTAAAGGGTGCTTAACCCTAAGGATCGCAGAGGGAGCCATACCCTAACCCTAAGGGTCGTAAAAGGTTGTCTGACTCTAAAGATGCGTCAGCTCCCTAAAGATCGGAACCCTAAGGATGGTTGACTGGCAAGTGAAGGGAGACGGAGCAACTACCACTATATAGCGAGAGAGCACTGGAGACAGTTCGGTAGCGCTATAACGCGATAATTGCCCCGCAGCGAGCAGCGAGGGCTGCGCCTGGTAAAGTGCATTCTATCCCAAGTTAATGTTGATAAGTGGAATAACATTAATAAAACTGCCAAGCATGGATTGAGTTTTCTTTTACTGATCAGTGTTAATTTGGTCATACAAACTGGGTTCTCCAGGGTTAGGGGCGAACAAATTCTGCAGGGTCTCCCTAGGTTAGGAACGAACACTAATTTGACTAAACACTAAAACACCCTCTAATTGCCACTATGGGAGACTATCAAAAGCTGCTTAAGCATTGATCTTTTTGGGGCAAACTTTTCAAGTGGGATCTCCAAGGGGAGGGCGATGAGTTAAACACTTAAATAAAATAGTCGATATCCTATTGTTTCCTGTAAACAGCTGCTAAACGAAGATGATTAGTTTGACTTGGAGACGTGATCTGGAACACTGATCTGCAGACATAATGCCCAATGACTAATTAGATTAACTGGCAAATGATAGTCGCATTCAAGAATACATTAAATTGTGGTTTACTTACAATGATCCATCAAGGGTAATCCCATATATTCATTTAGTAAGGATTATAATCTAACCCTTTACATAAATATATCGAGACAATGTTTTGAAAATACTTCTTTAAAATGGCCGCTTCTCATCAAATATGTTAGCATCAATTTGATTGGTCTACAATGAGCTCATCCCTAAACAGCGATTGGATAGTACTTCTGAGCTCCGTGCACAGACATCGCGAGTTCTAACAAGTACATTTAATGGAGTTCAGGCAATGTTGTTAGTAATTCCCTTTCCAAGTTTATTTCTATTTCCTGGAATTCCCGTAGGAGGTTTGCAATCCTACGTGAAAAGAACGTTATCAAAGAAGTAAACGACTCCCAAACCACTTCAAGGTCTTCCCTGATTTTACATCTTACAGATACAGGTTAAAGCACAAATTTCAGGTACTGTCATCTATATCTGATTTATTGCGCACGGTTGGCGATGTTAGGCTAATGGCTTTCAATTTGCTGTCTGGCGTTGTCTTAGTATCTACATGTTTGTCAACTTGATGACTCATGGCCACCCAAAATGATCTTTGATTATGTTTTGTGGGAATATGACTGATAATATTGTAGTAAGTTCGTATCGATATCGGTATCCATAATCACAGCTGTGTTTAAAGTAATGATTTATAACTCCAGGAAGAAGGTACTAAACATGTATCATGCTTAAAATTACCAATGACATGTACCAAAATGATTGACTATACACGGGTACACACGTTGTAAATGATGTTATGGTGATAAATATGCCCGATACACCATTGTGATGTGGAAAATATGGACTGGCATTTGATCCTTGACTTTATGAACAAAATTTAACATCTTTCTGAAGGCATGGAGACATATGTGATGTATTCAGAAGAAGTCACATGTCATGGAAGAGCTAGTAATGCATGTGATAGACATTAAGAGAACATTCAGTAGTGTTTGTAATCACAATGCTCATGGATGGAAAGGAGTTTCGGGAATTCAAGAGATGAAGGACTATATGCTTCACAGCCTGGTGCCGATGCCATTTGTAATGTATTTTGAATACTGTTCCAAATGGTGTTAACCCAACTCTAATATTCAATCTAGGTCAACATGACGTAATTAGAGTTATGTGAAGTTGTGATTTTGTCTCTGTGAAAGGCAGTCACTAACTACTTGATTCATCTTACATTTCAAAATTGTTATTTGCAGATAAACATATAATGATTTTTCAGCAAACAATTCAGCTTTCTAGAACTTCTAAATGACCCCAGCAGTTGCAATGACAAATCCTTCAAAGATCTTGCACTCCTTGACCTTTTTATCCTACAGTATGACTTTCCTGTCTGTATCTATAAAATAGATGAATATTCTTGTATTTGATTGTTAATCGAGAGTTGCCGAGTGCTTGAGTGATTTCTTGTTGGTGAAATGCATTATGTGGCAAAAGGGAAATATGTTTGTAAGGTTTCATGGTATTGAATGATTGTGTTTAAAACACTTCTTCATGATGGTGCTATTTCAAACATAAAATAGAGTGTTGTTCTGATAGGCTTATAGTTCTATCAATGGAAAAAGGATAATATGGTTTCAGAAAGATATTTGTCATTGATACTTTTATGGCAATGTATAAGCATCACTTCTGAAAAGTTCTTAATTGTTATACAGCCATTATTCATCCTTTCAAAATAAACCCCTTCTGTCACATTGGACAATGTTCTCTGTATACACAAACAAATTATACATTTTAGGCAACTGAACATGCTGAAAAATTTAAATAAGAAAACATTTCTAAGTTATTCTCCATTCTGGGTCAGTTTTGAAAAATAGGAACAGCTTTAGCCTGTTTTTATTGCTGAGATGGTTTGTGTGGTGTAAGTAAACAGAAATCAACCGGCCGGCGAGAAACTGCATTACCCGGAATTGTAGTCATGTGACCATGGTATCTTATCTTCTGTTGATATTGTAGGTGTATGTAGGGCACATTATGAAATTGATAAGCGTTTTATGTCTGTATATATTGAATCAACAAATGTTGATTGTTTTCATTTTCTTAAGGCCCTGTTTTAAATAACTTGATTGACATATTCAACTGACAAATGATCTGGTAAACTGACGTAATAAAAATAAATAAACAAATGAGAAAGTCATGAGGTTAAACATGGTAAAATGGTGAAAAAAAATTAAGACATGTAGGATTTTCTTTTCTTGGAACAAACCAGCAACATTGCAAAAATAATTATTATTCTGAAATTATTTGAATCCAGCATTTCTTTAATACATTTGCTTACAATAAAGAGGGGTGACATATTTTCCTTGTAACAAACATTCCTGAAGATATTTTTAGAACAGGTCAACATGTTCAGGGTCTATTGAAGCAACATGTAGTGTCAGCGTATGGTCAGATTTCCGGAAATGTGAACTATAATTTTGCAACATATTTCTATGAAGCTGTTGTGCAGCATTCATACCTGGGTACAATGTTCAGGATATGTTATATAATAGTAAATGTGTTTCTAAACTAATACATGAAAAAATGGTAGATGTCTCCCATTAGGGTTTTTAACAAGTTATCAATGAAAGGAGACACATGGAATCCCTGAGTTTCCCGAAATATAGGAGTCATCTGGTCTAGTGGTGGTCCGATTAATTGAAATAATTGAAGATTGGTCGTAGTGACTAAACGACCAAGCAATCGATCATAATTTCTCATAATCGAACACAAACAATTCTGGAACACTTGTTTGCATTAACAATATTTTTCACAAGGTCGGTTTTGTCTGTTACATTTGATGACCACTACAAGCTCGTTCCAAGTCATGGTTGAATTTATCTTCAAGACTCCAAGAAATTAATGTTCTTAACCTACTAGTTATCCTTTAAAGATGTGAAATTTGCCAATGCCTTGTGTGCAATTTGCAAAAACACCAAAGAACTACAGGGTTATTTCTATAAAAAAATTCCATTAACAAAAATAATCAGGAAAATTTCATAAATGACGCTAACCAATTATTTTCGATGATTGATCGGTTGTAATGAACCAATCATCAATTATGAGATTTTGACCAATTCCCAGCACTAATCTGGTCGTCCTTCTCTGTCTTCAAGAGAGTCATATGGATATGATAAGTGATCCAAAATAAGAAATATATTTCACAGAGTAAGTTGCAATTATTTATCAGTCATACCCATGTCAGTATATGATAATGCATAATGATATGCAAACTGGAAAGTAGCTCATGTAGATTTGTGTTAATAAATTTAAGTATAGTTCTGAACTATAACTAGTGTTGGGAATTGATCTCATAATTGATGATTCGTCCATTACATCCAATCAATCATCGAAAATATTTGGTTAGTGTCATGTATCAAATTTTCCTGGTTATGTTTGTTAATGCACAAAACATAAAGAAAAAACATGTACTTCTTTGGGGTTTGTTTACAGATTGCACAAAATGCATTAGCAAATTTCACATCTTTAGTTTAAAGGATGACTAGTATATTAGGAACATAAATTTCCTGGAGTCTTTTAAGAATAAATTCAATCATGACTTGGAACGAGCTTGTAGTGTTTATGGATTTTTTTTATGCAAGACAAAACCAACCTGGTGAAAAAAATTGTTTATGCAAACAAGTGTTCCAAAATTGTTTGTGTTTGATTACTAGTCATTGCGACTAATCTTCAATTATTTCAATTAATTGAAACACTACTACCTATTTCTAGTGGTATCCAAGTGTTGGTATGTTTCTGATTCAGATGCCTATCATAAGCATTGATTGACTTGCCATTATGTCAAATTGACCCAACAGCATAATTAGCATGCGACTTCCCAAAACAGATGGCGTAATATAAATAACTCTGCAAGTTTTCTGCACCAGGGCAGTCCCTGTGCACATGATGCATATTGTGGTACATACTGCACTGCATGAGTCATTAATGCAATGGCGTCCAATACAGAAATCAGGCCAAATTTAATTAACTGGACTTAACGGTGAGAAAGAGCTTGACCAAAGATGTTTTTCAATATTTTTGTACTCCCTTTGATTTCTACGCAATGCAGGTAAGCTCAAAGAGATGATTGTGTTAGTTTACAGAACACTTTTCAAAACCCTGTTCAACACATTCATGCATTATCTATATGTAATAAGTACTGGTATGAATGAACATCATGGAGTATCAATTTATTTAAAAATTAATATTAATTATTACCACAACATGCAATATATTTGGATTATGATATTAGGCCAGACCAATTATATTTCTTTATTTACGGATCTGCTGGCCGTAATTTTTCAAGAATAAGAAATTATTTTTTTTAAATTTCCCTGTTCAAAAAATAAAATCCTAATATTTTTATTGGCCAAAAAATGTAAATTTACAAGACTTTTTTTTAGATTGTTTTTTGCCCCATATACACTTCATAAATTGCCAAAAGTAAAATACTTTTAGTATTTAAAAGGAATATTACTTCGACTGGTGATTCTTTCATATATTTTTTCCCTCCTGCCCTTAGGTTTTCTGAGGACAAAAATCCGTAAAACAAGAAGTAAAATTGGTCTGACCTTAGGAAAATATAAATTAAAAATATTAGTTACACCATAATCTGTAATAGCTTAGAGAAAGACACCGGTCCAGAGTAATAAAAACTTGACTCACAGACATCCTGTTTGTAAAAAGTTATAAGTTACGACTACATAGTTTAAACAATGGTTTAGATAAATAGCCTATGGTAACAAGGACTCATCTCTTAGACTGACTTATCAGTAAGACAAAAGTTGTCTACATTGTTTAATAAATTGCCTTGATATATTTAATAAAGTAAACATGTCATCACCTATATGTTGATAGTTATCTTCAATTCATATATTTATCATTTTTCTGCTGCATGAAATTGTACTGGCTGCCGAACAGTTATCGCCAATACATCAGTATGACCCATGCGTAATCCCGGTCAATTACAATTCCAGTATTTTTTGCTACGGTATTTGACAACAATAAAAGACAGCAAAAGAAAATCATTCACGGTAAGTAACATTAGAGAAAAATTAAAGATACGGTTATGAAGCCTATTATGTTTTTTTAGCTTAGTTGGGGGATGTCACACAATCTATTTAATAGCAAGTTCAAGTTCATATTCACAAAAGTCATTAATTATTTCATTCCCTATCAAACTACAGTAAAAATACACTCAACTTGTCACACAATCAATTATTCGAGGTTACTTTATGATATGAAAATATATTATTTCACAAATGACATTAGAAATTCTGAAATGGCGATAACTGTTACAGTTAGTTGTGAGAAAACATTTATTTATACTGCCATGATTCTTTTCTGCTGCATTATGTAAAAACATGATCCGTAGTGAACGGGCAAGACACATCGGTGAATAGCAAATTAAGTATCATAATTAATTTTGTTTCATTGATTTAACAGACGGAGGAGTAATTTTGTAAATACCGCTAACATATGGCGATAACTGTTCGGTAGCCAGTATGTGAAACTTAACTTGAGAGATAATATTCATGTACTTGCTGATCTGTATGGGGAATCTGATGGTAATACGATGCAGCGTCACCAGTACGCCATATTGGATATTTGCCAAGTGTATTAAACATTTTAAATAGTGTGACACTGATACCAATTGATTCTACAAACCAGAACTATTTTTGTCCCAACTGTAAAACTGTGTTGAAACTGGTGATTAGTACTGTGTAGATAAGATAGAGAACGTCACAAGGACAGTGGCATAGTGTCTCTTTGATTTAGCAAGCAATAAGTTCATACAAATATGGAAAGTGCTTGAGTTTGACCATGGCAGATGAAAAGTATTTAGGGACCGCTCAATTGATGGCTGGGGGTTTCACCCGGTTAGGGGTCGTAATTTTTGGGTTGATGATTCTAAGGAGGGGTCACCCATTTTGTTCGGGAGGGGTGGGGGGTGTGGTCATCAATTTTGTTTCCGTGCATTACTTACTTCCTGTTGCGTTATCAGGAGCGGCACAAGGTCTTTGTCAGCTAGTTCCAGGTTGCTATTGTAGATTCAGGATGTACTCTAAGATGAATAATATTGTCCTTGAAATAATAGCTCCTGCATGTGAAGTGTTTAGTTTAGGTGTTGATTCAAACAAAACAATTTTTACACACTGCCTGGTTTATCACAAAGTTTGATTTACCATATTCGCCATTTGAAGCACTCGCCTCAATTAAATACACAAACTGAAGTATTTTCCTTTGATTTGTGAGGAATGTATCCTGAAAGCTGTGACTGAAATTATTGCTGAAAGTATGAGAAAAACACTCTCTTTGATATAAATACAAAGAAAATTACTTTTTTAAGATATTGGTAAGTTTAATGTTTTTAGTCCCATCTATGCAAGGTTTACATGCTATCTGATATGCCAATCAATATCTAAAAATACATTTTTGTTGTTATTTTGACTGCTGACATTTTCATTTGAAGATGTGTTGTTGTTTTAATACTGATTGTACGAATCAACCAAAATAATATGTATCTCTTTGAAAATCTTATACTCACATCATATGGGTGAAATACTGCTCATAAACTGATCAACATGGCAAATCCTAGTCTTACTACCAGAGGTACAGATAAGCTGCTTATCTGCGTAAATTACGTAAATATTTATGTGGAAATTCAATTCCTATGAAGTCTATAAATTCAAGTACGCTTGCATTTGTGTAAATACTCAATAAATTTGATCTTACATGCGTACACACAAAAATGTCAAATCTTAGTTTGCGTACCAGTGAATTAGTTCCGGTCACCAAACCTACTAGAATTTGGCATAAGCAGACCCATGTGCTACAGATGGAGGTTACTGAGGATAGATATAACTGAGATATATTGAGAGGTTCTATTTCAGCACATGAACTTGGCATTTTGCAGTCTTTCTTATCATTTCTCATATTACAGATGAAATAAAAATATCACGTAAACCAACATTTAAACTTTATTATATTTTTACAGTTAACTGAAAATGGCAAAATACCCAACTGAGTTTAAGTTAGGTGGGTACAATTTATTTGGTTTGCTTAAAGGAAAATTAGGATGCCCAATTGAGATGAACACAAGCGAGTACATAGCTCAATGACCAAAAAAGGTATCTGTAGCTCTTTAACCTTTGAAGACAGTGTTTAAGGAACCTTTATTTCACAGAATTAAGAGGGTTGTAGTTATGATTGGGTCAGCGACCTAAAGCATTGTATTTCCGTGTGATTTGTTCAGACTTCCTTGAGACTGGCTTGTCTTATCTTGGCAGGCATATCAAACAGAAGGAACAAAGGGCTAGTTGTGTCCAATCAGGATCGTCCACAGGTCCTATTTTGACTGAAATTAGTTGTGATTACATTGATGTAGATTCATCTGGGGATTGTGGGCATAAAGCAAGAACAGTGCCTGACTTTGTAGATTTTTCACTTTCAGAGTCTGTGCCGATGCGTTAACTGCTTGAATACAGTAGGGATCAGTTTAAAAGACTGTTTTCTTGTATTGACATAAACATGTGCCTAATATCAGATCTCATGAAATGCTGGATTTGAAGAAAAAGGACATGTTCATAATAATTGTAAGTATTAGAAGTAATTCAAAAGTTTAAAGTAGTTTTAAGAACATTTATTTCATTGTTTTGAGATATACTTTGTACCCCCAGATGTGAAAACATTAATGTCCTTGAAGAAATTTTGTTGTCATGATGAAGGTCGACACCTTTCATCACAAGTTTCAACAGTTTATTCAAGTACTGTGAAGTTGAAACTGTTATAGATGATCACATCAAAGTGATAAGTTTTCAAGGAAGTCGGCTCAGAATGCCAGTGCTGTTATAAATATGCTTGAGTGAGTGTTGGGGAACACCAGAAATGGGATTCACGCTAAATTTGTACCCATGTGGGGAATTGAACCCGTGTCTTCGGTGTAATGAGTAACTGCTTTTACCACTAGGCTACCCCAATGCCGCTTAAACATACTTGTATATGTCCCATCTGAATATTCTTCAGCAGTATATGCATGTATTGTTATTGTGAGAATGGGTACATCCTAGTGTTGGGAATTGGTTAAAATCTCATAATTGATGATTGGTTCATTACCACCGATCAATCATCGAAAATAATTGGTTAGCATCATTTATGAAATTTGTTAATGCACAAAAAAATAAGGAAAAAAATACATGTAGTTATTTTGGGAGATTTGGGCAAAATTTCACATCTCTAAAGGATGACTAGTATGTTAGGAACATAAATGTCTTGGTGTCTTTAAGATAAATTCAATCATGACTTGGAACGAGCTTATAATGCTTATAAAATGTAACAGACAAAACCAACCTTGTGAAAAATATTGTTGATGAAAACAAGTGTTCCAGAATTGTTTGTGTTCGATTATGCGAAAACGTGATCGATTGCTTGGTCGTTTAGTCACTGCGACCAATCTTTGATTATTTCAATTAATCGGATCACCACTAGTACATCCATGCAGTTTATCATCGTATATTGGAGGAGGAGATGTTATGTACAGTGGGTATTGCCATATCAAGGCTTTTAAGTGAGGAATATAAACAGTAGTTTGGATGATGCAATTCCCAGTCAGTTTTGTCAAAAACAGTGTGCAGTTTCGTTTGTGAAAAACTTGGAATGATTATTTTCTTAGGTTATCAGTCATGTTCTAATGGTTACCAGGTAGCCATTTTCATTTCTGGAAGCGGACAACACATACACGTTTGTGTTACATATGACATGATCACATATATAAGTATGAAAAGGGTGACTATCTACTACAAAATTTGTATGTATGAACATACTGACAAGTCTATGACCAAAATGAATTGTTTGTACTAGTGGTGGTCCGATTAATTGAAATAATCGAAGATTGGTTGCAATGACAAAACGACCATGCAATCGATCATGTTTTCTCATAATCAAACACAAACAATTTTGGAACACTTGTAACTTTGCAAAAACAATATTTTTCACAAGGTTGGTTTTGTCTGTTACATTTCATTAGCACTACAAGCTTGTTCCAAGTCATGATTGAATTTATCTTAAAGACTCCATGAAATTCATGTTCTTAACACACTAGTTTGTTTTGTTTGTTTTAAACATATTTTATTCATGAGAAAAGGATTAGGAAAAAGTTATACAACTTAGAACACCATCTCCGTAAAACACTAGTCATCTTTTAAAGAACCAATAAACTTTGTTTTTTTGTACTCTGTTAACTATTACATATGAAAGATTTGTGGTTAGACTAATGCGAAACACCAAATTCATTCTTAAAAAACTTGTGGTTAATTAATACCGAGCGATTAAAGGTGCCAAAAAGTCGCCTGCTTCACTTTCGCCCGCCAACGAAACCACAGACAGGTTACGTAACTCTGTTGCCAGCGCACTGCAGTGACGTCATATGAGGAACGATTTTCAGTTAGTTGTATAGAAAGTGTGTAGCACGCTCATCATTTTGATGATTTCTCGACATCAACAACGACATGCCGATTCGTTGCTTTGTCGTCAATTGCTCCTAGGGGTCGGGCGATGGTGTCACCATGCACAGATTTCCACAGGACCCCGCAGTTCGTGCTAAATGGGTTATGTTTGTGAGTGCGAAGCGAGCGTTGTGGAAGCCTGAAAAGATATCTTACTTGTGTTCAGATCATGGAAGTTAAAGAATCAAAACTACTTAGTAGTAAAATGTGTATATGATTGATGACTATAAAGATTTTCCATGACACAACTTGTAACATAACGATTTCTTCCTCGGAAGTGAGGTTGTGGTCGAAGCTAACAATAATATTGTAAGTAGTATTATATTGACACCCGTCTCGCTGCCACGAGAGAAATTGTTATGTTATACGCTATGTCATGCAAAATCCTATTGGCCATCAATCAAATACATATTTTACTACCAGTAGAAAGTCGTGTTGAGTTTGTAACTCGGTGAAAACAAACTTAAATAGCATTTATCCTCAGACTGGCGGATGTTGGCGACAGGGTAAAAAAACACATAAATTGGATCAATTTGGATCAATCATTATACAAATAAGGCCCAACTACACCAAGCGATTTTGACAGAATCGTCTATGAAAACAAGTTGTAACTCAGAAACTAGGCAAAGCAGGAGACAAAATTAAATGACAGTAGATTGTGAGAACATATAGCTTTCATTTTCCACAACAGTTGTCACGATTTCAGGTTTATACAAATCATCATGGATCGTTAGCTATTTGTTTACATTGTTGTTTGTGTGAAGCGACATGCACACCACCATATTAACTCATTCATTTTGAAAGTTCTGAGACGTTTTGCTTTCATTTCAGATTGATGGCTTCTTCTCATTCTCACCAATGTGTAAGCATTACCAGGAGCCATACCCGACCTTCCACAACATTTGAACATAATGGAGACAACAGTATCATGGAGATGCCATAACTAGCTGCAACTAGAGGCAACAGGGAGAGTCGGAATGTAAAGTGGAAGTATGTCTGCTATGGAGGAGTATGGTCCTCCAAGCTACATATCCATTGACGAAACGGATACACATGTCTTATCATTTGAAAACAGCAACCTACAAAGAAACTTGACCCAAATACCACATCAACTTGCAAGAAACCTAATAGCTGGGAGGCAAGTCATTGCTAATCCAGTGCTACCATTGCAACCCTACTTAGCCATGTCTGATGTCAATGCTATGTCCACTCCTCCTTCGGGGCAGTTTGAAGTTCCGGCTCCAGGGAATTTTGATGTTCCAGACTCTGTTAAGGAAATGTTGAAGGATGACATACATGACCAAGAGAAGGCCTCTTTGGACAATGCGACGTCAGAATATTACAGCGAAGAAAATGGACATTGTTTATCTAATGGGGTTGATGAAGATGATCGGAATACAAATCAAGGGCAAACACATGGTGATGACATGGGCGAGGAACATGCGGATGATTCTCCAGAGTTAAGAAACAGAGGTGAGAGTGTTTCATCCCAAATGTCAAGGTCGTCTGTCAATGAAGATCTCCAGTCAAAGAGGGCTTCACTTGTTGAGTCGAAAAACAGGTACTGCTCTGTTGAGTACGACCCCTCAAGAAGAGAGTCAATACCAGTTATTTCACCAAGACCAAATCTTTCTCGTACGACAGTGTCTTTTCAGATGTTCAGCCGGCCGTATCGAGAAGGAAAGTTTCCAGGGAGAGACTGGTGAAGCAGTGGAGTAAGAGTGCGCCAGACCTGCCTGATTTGTTACAGTCTCTGAATCCTCCTGAGGCCCACTCTCCTGACATAGTGGAGTGCTCGGGATTCATGTTGAACACTGCCAGGAGACTACGGGCTCACTCAGAGGAGATTCTGAATACAGGAGCTGGTGACAATAGACTGTTGAGTTCCAGTAACAAGGAGGAAATCGAGGGGAAGGTGTACGATGGCAAATCCAGGAAGCACAGTTTGAAAAGGGCTGTCAGCTTTCAGGACAGCCCGCTAGTTTACAGCATCCCACAGGAGAAAAGTCAAATGCAGAATCTCTTCTCACCTCAGGGTGAAGAAGCTCGAGAGTTTTTTCGCCACAGGTCGAGTGGATATGGCACTGGTAGCTCTTCTAAAGGCTCGCTACAGTCTGAGCTGAGTGATCAAACTAACTACAGTGACTCTGTGATAACAGACAATAGTGTAGATCAGGAGACACTCACGTCGGATGAAGAAAATAACCACACTTTGACCAGTGCAGGTCAAGAAGATCTGTTGCCTTGTTTGAGTATTTTTCGACCAGATTCATTGACTCCTTCATTACGTGTGGATGGTTTGGAAGACTCCATCAAGAACAGTTGTGAAGATGAGAAGAAGGGCAATGTGCCAAATTTTGATTTGCTGGAGACAGGAAGTGTTCAGTTGCCCTCAGATTTAACAGAGGGATTGGCTTCAGGAACAGTTGCAGAAGATCTAACCCAAGTAGCTGAAGGGTTATATTCGGAAAATGTAACCCAAGGTGCTGAAGGGGGATATTCTGAAGAAAACAGCCCAGTTGATAAAAATCAGGCCAACCATAAAGAATATGCATTGATGGTGCTGGAAGATTACATCCAAAGAAATGACCCCAAAACATGTTCATGTGCTAGTTCGCTAAAAAATCGTGCCACCTCAGCATCAGGTAGTCTTGGAATTTACCGGAATGAGCCATCCCAAGAGCTGATTTATCGGTACTTGATGACTCTGGAAGATCATTCAGACATTGACTCCATTCTGAGCCATGTGAACAATATGATAGTCCCATCTGACAGTTCTACCCCATCTCCCAATCTTCAGATCAAGTGGACGCCAAGTAAGTGACTCGGTTGACTGACCCCTTGAACTTCCAGGTTAGAATTGGTTTCTAGTAACCCAAGCTTGTCGTAAGAGGTGACCAACGGGATTGGGTGGCCAGGCTTGCTGACCTGGTTGACAGATACCTTCATATCCCAATTGCGTAGAATGATGCTCATGCTGTTGATCATTTGATTGTCTGGTCCAGACTCGATTATATACAGACAGCCGCCATATAGCTGGAATATTGCTGAGTACGGCGTTAAACAACAAACCGACTGGACATTGTCCTTAGCGTGATGATTATGCATTTGTAACGACTTGTCTTGAATTAGGATATGAACCACATCCAATCAACAAATCGGGATGAGGTTAGAATTGATCTTCAGCAACCCATGCTTCTTGGAAGGGAAGCTAACAGGATAGGGCAGTCCTGTTCTCTGATTTAGTTGATGCATGCCATCGTATCCTAGCTTTGTAGATCTATTCTTATAATGTATTTCACAGACTGGCTCAGACTTGATTATAGACATATTACTGGAGGGTTGCTCAGAGTGCAATGTTAAATATCAAACAACAAAACAAAGATCGTGCCGCGAATTAATAGTATGTTCCTCCATGAAACCTCATTATTAGATGGGGTGGGGTAGCCTAGTGGTTAAAGCGTTTGCTCGTCACACCGAGGACCTGGGTTCATTTCCTTACATGGATACAATGTATGAAGCCCATTTTAGGTGTCCCAGCCTTCCGTGATATTGATGGAATATTGCATAAAGTGGCATAGAGGGGCCCTCACTCATTATTAACAGGGTTGGGTTTTGCCCAATTTTTCGTATTGCGATATATTGTGATATGTGTTGGCGTATTGAAATATGTATAGCAATCTATTGTGAAATTATTGTTTCCTTTCTTGTGAAACAATGCCACTGTCAGGAATCAGATGTGACTGTACAAGAGATCAATTGAAAATGTTTCCAAATTGAAGACTTCGAAACTGGAACTCGAGAAAAAGCCTTTTTGGTTTGTTTATCCCAACAACGAGTGCCCTTACCAATTCTATTTTGTTTTATTTATATGGTTTAAAAGTCACGCAAATGCAATGATATGACCAATAAACGTTCTCAAAACTTTTCATGTTTAATAATATAAATGAAATACAAATGATATTAGTATTTTTGACTACATCACAAAAATTACCGATCATGGTCATAGAAATTGCCGATCGTATCACAATATATCGTATTGTGAAGTTCGAATTGCAATATACTGGTTAACTGGTATTATCGCCCGCCCCGAATTATTTACATGCCATAGCGATCTACTTAACATTTGTAATTACAGGATTTATGAACATGATAAGTCTTAGACTTTCTTACAGAGATATGCTTTCAATGTGTGATGAAAAGTTGAGGCTACTTGTCAGCTTGTTTGAATTAAACAGCTCACCCATGATAATATTTTCCATGGGGATAAATTCAGGGTTATTCATATTCACACAATATGATTACATATTGAGAGTGTCATTGATTTCTTGGATATTTCAGATTTGCACAGCCCTGATGTCTTCAAAAGCTTTTTCCCAGTTTTGTCCAATATTAAAGAGCAGGTACGTCTATGAAACCCTTCCTATCTTGTGGCTAGACTGATACGTCTCTTAACCCTCCCTACCTTGCGGCTAAACTGATACGTCTCTTGACCCTCTCTACCATGTGGCTAGACAGATACGTCTCTTGACCCTCTCTACCATGTGGCTAGACAGATACGTCTCTTGACCCTCTCTACCATGTGTCTAGACAGATAGATATGTGGCTTGATAGATATGTCTCTTCACCCTCCTTACCTTGTGGCTAGACAGATACGTCTCTTGACACTACATTGTGACTAGACAGATAGATCAAGACTTGCCCACTACACCCCATAATATAGTAGGCTGTTCAGATGTATTTTCACCAAATATTTACAACTGTAAATTTGAAATGGTGATTATCTCCCCTGATACAGGAGGAGAGCAGTGATCAGAAAGTGTCCCAGCATGGCAAGCCACCCATTAGCTCAAGACTCATAGAGAAGCTGGAAAGAGCAGCTCGGTGCCAGGAGGATCTGTGTCTGGACAAGGATTGTGTTAGGGTATGTATAAAAGAGATTGTGTTAAGGTATGTCATGATCAGGATTGTGTTAAGGTATGTCATGATAGAGATTGTGTTAGGGTATGTCATGATAGAGATTGTGTTATGGTGTGTCATGACAGAGATTGTGTTAAGGCATGTCATGACAGATTGTGTTAAGGTATGTCATGATAGAGATTGTGTTAGGGTATGTATAACAGATTGTGTTAGGCATGTCATGACAGAGATTGTGATAGGGTATGTCATGATTGAGATTGTGTTAAGGTGTGTCATGATAGAGATTGTGTTAGGATGTGTCATGATAGAGATTGTGTTAAGGTATGTCATGATAGAGATTGCGTTAGGGTATGTATAACAGATTGTGTTAGGCATGTCATGACAGAGATTGTGATAGGGTATGTCATGATTGAGATTGTGTTAAGGTGTGTCATGATAGAGATTGTGTTAGGGTGTGTCATGATAGAGATTGTGTTAAGGTGTGTCATGATAGAGATCGTGATAGGGTGTGTCATGATAGAGATTGTGTTAGGGGAAGTCATGATAGAGATTGTGTTAAGATGTGTCATGATAGAGATTGTGTTAGGGTGTGTCATGATAGAGATTGTGTTAAGGTGTCATGATAGAGATTGCGTTAGGGTATGTATTACAGAGATTGTGCTAAGGCATGTCATGACAGATTATGTTAAAGGTCACATGCAACGTAAAACACAACTTTGCAGATTCTGATACCTTACGGTATGGACGTACCGAAACAAATCATCAAAAATGCAAATTCAAGTTATAAAGTTGAAAAATAACGCGATGAAAAAAACCACGCGAAATCGGAGTTCAAACGGGTTTCAACAGCTGGGCTGCGCTCATAGCATGTGCGCAGTGAAATAGGTTCGCGCAACTTGGAAGCGGGCTGTCTGGTGAATACTCGGTGAAGGCTTTGGTGTGAGCTATTTTCATAATGTTTTGTTGATATCTCACAGGCGCGAGCTTTTTATATGTTATGACAGTAAAAAAACTGTTTATATAATTTCATTTGTCTATTTCACCACACGTTCTTCTTACCGAGTCACTTTCTCAGTTCGATACTTAAAAGCAATGTCATTATTTAGTGTTGACCGAATTTCTAACTGTGATATAGATATGTCATTGTCACAGACAAAACTCAATGTCTTGTTTTATTGACACCTGTGTGTCTGCCTGCCTGTCTGCTAATGACAATATTCAATACACAGCTGCTATCACTGACCACATGCAATTTGAACTTAACACCAATCAGGCTATACACCATAAACAAAATGCATTGATTTATGGCCCGAGTTCGGTCTCTGTCACATTATGTAATTACACAGACAGGCAGGTGTGATACTTGAACACATGACATGTTATGATGTCTGTTGATTGCAAAATGTTATACACAAAAAATGAGCATGTATTTACAAAACCCAACATCTCTATATATACACACACAATGAGCCGTGGGGGCGGCATCTGCAAATGAACCAGCCGTTACACTTGAGTGCACACCCACCCGCTCTGACTGGGTTCGGTATCCCGGCTGCTTCATTTAGAGGCAGGTAAACCCAAGTACAAAATATTGCACTTTTGATTTGCGATTATACGCTTATAATTTTGTTTATTTGTTTTTTCATAATCAGCAATGCATATTATATGTCATGAAGAAGTGATAATTGTGTTTTAATTATGTTTGATTTTTGGTTGCATGTGACCTTTAAGGAATATCATGATAGAGATTGTGTTAAGGTTTGTCATGACAAGGATTGTGTTAAGGTGTGTCATGATAGAGATTGTGTTAAGGTGTGTCATGATATAGATTGTGTTCAGGTGTGTCATGATATAGATTGCATTAAGGTATGTCATGACAGAGACTGGTACACTATGTTCCATTACAATCTCTCTTGATTAGACCATTTAGATATTTTATGGGAGATATGAGGAATGCAAATAATATATCAAGAAATTCCAGGTTTGCAGTCTTGGTGCTGAGCTTGGCTGATTGTCCCTATATATATTTTTTCAGTCCAAGAAAATGCTGACAACATTTGAGAACAATATCCAGCTACAGTCAAGCCTCGACAAGGATCAGGAGACCATTCTGTTGGCCTTGAGATGTCATGGAGAAAGATGTGACAACATCAAGTGCCCTATGCCATACTGTGCCTTGCTGATTGATGTGTACGTAGCCCCAACAGTTGTAACCATGGCAACGAGCACTTGGGGACCAGTCATTTCATATTGAAGGAGAGATTAAAAAGAGTTTTTAAAACTCACATTGGAAAGGGATTCAAAATTATATATAATTGGCTTTAAAAGGAAGTTGTTAAAAATAAATGTTTCGAATGTATTTCTAGAAGGAGTGGCCCCAAATAATTTATACCTTTCACACAACCCAGCCCTCCCCTACCCCAGCCTAAATAGCACATGGTCATGCTGTTGCCACAATGCCTTGCTGATTGATATTTGCCTAAACAATTGCAGTGGTGGGGTAGATAGGTGGTTAAAGCATATGCTTGTCTTACCGAAGGGGTGGGTTTAATTCCCTACAATGTGTACAGCTCATGCTTCAGAACTACCCTTGGGTAACATTTCATAAAGGAATCTTTAAGCTTAGAGCCACAGGACCAATTGTAATAGTCCTTTCAGATCTACCAGTAGTTGATACCTGTGAAGATGAGTGTTAGAACCCATATGTGATTATGAGATGCTTGTATACCATGTGTTGATTGTTATTCCCGCCGTGCGTTTAGCGCGATGCGGGGGATATAGTATTAGGCTCCGTCCGTCCATCCATCCGTACGTAAGAATTGGAATAACTTAAGAACCGTTCTCTAAATTCTTTTCATATTTGGTACCTAGGTTCATCACACTATAAGAAAGGTCCAAGTCAGGTTTGGTGACCTTGACTTCATTTCAAGGTCTCAAGGGGACTTTAACGTTTTACCTGCATGTTAAGCTATCTCAAGAACCGTTAACTGGATTTTCTTCATATTCAATACCAAGCTTTATCTAGGGAAGGCACAGGGCCTAGTCGATTGTGGTGACCTTCACATAATTTTCAAGGTCATGGTGACACTTTGAAGATTTCAGCATGTTAAATTGCTTGTTAAGATAGTCAGCAAGATATCGCAAAAAATATTCAGTGGATTTTCTTCATATTTGACACCAAGCTTCATCTAGGGAAGGCCCAGGGCCAAGTCAATTTTGGTGACCTTCACATAATTTTTAGGGTCACAACTACAGTATGAAGATTTCAGCATGTTAACCTGAATTGTCAGCAAGATATTTTAAGAACGGTTCACTGGATTTCTTCATAGACTTTCAAGACCTCCCTTGAATGTTTTTCAATAAGCAATTTCTTTAGTATGAGTTTTGCATATTTCATAAACTATGACATTCATGTCAAGGTCAAAGTCAGTCTTGAAAATATGTGTGTGTTTGAACAACTAAAGAGCAAGATCATGTATTTGTTGACATTTAACTTCATCTTAAACTTTCATTACTTTAAAAGTTTGATTTGATAATTTGCGGTGGGGGATTATGTCACCTTAGTGACAATGCTTGTTGTTATTGCAGGGAGCCCTGGGATTCGATAGAGGCTATATCTCGTATCCGTCAGCAGCTGGATATCATCCTGGAGATGACCGATAACAACACAGAGCCGGGCCGATTCCTCAGTGTGAGTACATACCTCGCTCTCATATCACAGATAATGAAAACTGGTGCATTGTGCTGGAGCGATTGATTGAATAATCGGTTAATTGATCGATCTCGCTTGCCAATTAAACTTATCACAGACATTGTTAATTTTGAAATCTTGGGTTGTAAATCTATTGATCTCGCTTGCACAAAATCAAACTTTTCATGTTACCCTGCCTGGAACTTTGCATTAAGGGGAGATAAGTCAAGGACTGGCCAGCTCTCATTCTCTACACTGCGTCTGTGAGTGATTGTTTAGATGTGATAGTGTATAAGCAGGGATGAGAATTTATCTCGGATCCACAGAATTCCGCAGACTTGATCATGCTTGGGTCATTCTTGTGAATCGTATCCAAGATGTTTGTCACAGACATTGGTAATTTTCGAATCTTGGGTTGTCAATCGATCAATCTTGCTTACAAAAAAATCAAATTTTAGAAAGTATGTTTGTTATTGTTATGTTTGTCACAGACATTGTTATTTTTCGAATCTTGGGTTGTCAATCGATAGATCTCGCTTGCAAATCAAACTTTAGAAAGTGTTTGTCACCTTTCTCTTCCCACAGAGGTTACTCAAGTCATATCTTTCCACGAACCTCTGTTCTCGGCCATATTTCCATGTTCTCTTAAAATCCCCTAGCAGCAAAAATCGCAACACAAATTATCTCCCATCTTTCTATCCAATTTGAACACGTGTTACATCGACTGAGATCCAATATGGCGGCCGCCATGGAGTTAGTTGATCAACATGCAAAGGATAGATTCAGTATTTCGTGTTTAACGGAAAATCAGAAACTAGCAATAGAGAGTGCAGGAATCATTCCACAAGATGTTTTTTGTTGATGTGACACACAAGACATTTAATGGCTAGCTTGGCCGTCGTCAACGAGGGCGATGGAGACGCCATTGATCCGCCATTACATGACCAAGTTCTGTCACGAAGAAAAGTTTGCACATCACGCAGGGGAAGATGTTTTAGTTTTCCCGAAGCATATGGAAATAACCGAGGTTTTGCAAATGATCACTTTTGAAACAACGTCGCTGATTGCACAACTAAATTTGATTGAAACCAATCACGAATCCTAAACACTTGTACCATGAAATGGCCATATTAGAACAGAGGTACGTGGGAAGAAATGACTTGAGTAGCCTCTGTGGAAAGAGAATGGTTTGTCACATACATTGTCAATATTCGAGTCTTGGGTTGTCAATCGATCGATCTCGCTTGCTAATTGAACTTATGTTTCTTATTTTTATGTTTGTCACCTTTATCAGAAGTTTTTCTGTAAGTAAGTAATAAGTTCATTCTTACGACCTTTGTCTTTGACCATCAGCCTGAACTGTTGTTCATTGTTCATGCTCAATTACTTAGCATAAATTTCTCCCCCCCCCCCAAGCTTTTGGTCATTTCTATTTTTCTCGGTTTCCATGGAAACGATTCGACTTAGTCTCAAAAGGAAAAGGGAGGGGTGAACTTGAAAACCGTTCAATATTTTTCAACAAAACTTGGTAGATATATGAAATGGAACCTAAAGTGGTGCCTTTGCTATTTGCAGATTTTTGGCATTTTTATTTTTCTCGGTTTCCATGGAAACGTGTTGGGCTTGTCTGAAAAGGGAGGGGTGGGCTTCGTTTACAGAGCACAACACAAAAACTTTTCAAAATCTTTCTACAATACTTGGCATATACTAGTATAGCAAACAGATCTTGAAGTGGTGCCTTTTGTTATTTACAGACTTTTGGCATTCATATTTTTCATGATTTCCATGGAAATGATTTGGACTTAGTCTAAAAAAACATCAAGTTGGACTTTAAGTAACTGTCAGTTGATTTGGTGTTTCAAATATTTGGGGGCCAGGGGGATTTGTCATCTTCTGCTGACCCTTGTTTTAAATCTTTTAACCCATGTTTTCTTTGTTGTCTGTTGTCCTGTTGAAATGCAGCTGCCCCATGCTCATCCTGTAGCAAGGGGCGTTGGGTGGCCTAGTGGCTAAAGCATTTGCTCTTCATGGAGACTCAGGTTTGATTCCCACATGGGTAAAATATGTGAAGCCCATTTCTGGTGTCCCGGATGTGATATAGCTGGAATCTTACTTAAACGGTGTAAAATTGTACTCACTCCCTCCCGATGCTCACCCTACTTGTAGCAAGTGTAGTGTACACTCATCCTGACCCACATAATCTGCCTACTTCAGCTGAGTCCCAACTGCCGATACAATGGACCTGTACGAGAAGGAGAAGACTGGATGGTGTTATCTCCGCTCAGTAAATCCCACAACGTTGTCCTCATCACAGACATTTCTCCTTCATCTAGGGCTCCAAATGTTCTGAAAAAGGTAGGGCATCTCCCTGCTTCCTAAGAGTTCCTTACTGTGTGTCGAACTTTAGTATATGGTATTTATGTGCAAAGATCTTTGGACTATCATAATCCTTCTTGAAGTTGGAATTTACTTTGTTTGAATCATACTTATTATCATTCTTTGGCTTTATGGACTGACTCTGTGGTCGTGTGGATAGAGTAGATTAGGTAGACAGAGATCTGGTCAGTGGTTTCATGCCAAGGCCATGTCATACTGAATGATGTACTTGATGTTACCCTGCCTGGAACTTTGCATTAAGGGGAGATAAGTCAAGGACTGGATAGCTCTCAGTCTCTACACTGCGTCTGTGAGTGATTGTTTAGATGTGATTGTGTATAAGCAGGGATGAGAATTTTTCTCGGATCCACAGAATTCCTCAGACTTGATCACGCTTGGGTCATTCTTGTGAATCTTATCCAAGATCCTTGGCTCATTTTCCTCTTTTTTAACTCATACCCATTCTCATCCCTGTATAAGTAGTGTTCACATTTATCATGTTGTAAAACTGTTGTGTAGATGTTTTACTGGTGTTTATCTGATGTTGTGATGGTGGATAAATGGTGTTCAGATGTTTTGATGGTGTATAAAAGGTGTTATGGTGTTAAAATGTTGTGACAGTGTATAACTGGTGTTCAGATGTTACGATGTAGTTATGGTAGTGTCCAATGGTGTTAAGATCTTGCGATGTTTAAGTGGTGTTCAACTGGTGTTTAGATGTTGTGATGCTGTATAACTGATGTTCAGATGTTACGATGTAGTTATGGTAGTGTCCAATGGTGTTAAGATCTTGCGATGTTTAAGTGGTGTTCAACTGGTGTTTAGATGTTGTGACATTGTATAACTGATGTTACAATGGAGTTATAGTAGTGTTCAATAGTGTTAAGATGTTACGATGTTTAAGTGATGTTCAAAAGGTGTTTCGATGTTGTGACAGAGTATAACTGATGTTCAGATGTTACGATGGAGTTATAGAAGTGTTCGATGGTGTTAAGATGTTATGATGTTTAAGTGGTGTTCAACTGGTGTTTAGATGCCCCTGCTGGACATGGACCACCAATGGCAGGTGTATGAGAAGCTGCGGAGTTTGTCCCACCCCAATCTGGTGGAGCATCTGTGGATCATGGAACAAGGGAAGGACTTCCTCATCTGCACACAGTTCATGGGAGGTAAGTGCTGACTTGCAGACACCATCAAACTTTCAGGGATTTATTTTGAACTCCAAACTAAGTGCACTTGGTAAAACAATTGTGAATTTGTTCAAAATTAGAGTGAGTGAGTGAGTGAGTTAATATTTAACGTCACATTGGCAATATCTCAGCCATATCGTGACGATCAAAATTAGAGGGGCAGTTGGGTAGCCTAGTGGTTAAAGCGTTCACCCGTCACACGGAAGGCCCGGGTTTGAATCCCCACAGAGGTACTATGTGTGAAGCCCATTTCTGGTGTCCCCCGCTGTGATATTGCTGGAATATTGCTAAAAGCAGCGTAAAACCATACTCAGTCAGTCAGTCAAAATTAGATTTTTGTATGTTCTCACTTTCTTAAATTCTGAGGAACTGGTAATTTTTCCTTTGGAATCGGTAATATTTACTGTAATTTGCTCCAGACTTAGGGCTGAGTATTGGCCAGGTTGAGATGATACCCTCAGCTTACTGAGATTACAGAACATTTAGATCATCCAAACCTCACACTTCATAACACTCAGTAGTACCAAATAGTTGATAAAATATCATTTTTCTCCAGATACACAATATTGTGTTTATTGGGTAGCACTTCATTTATGTGACCGCCTCCATGTGTAGCAGTTAGAGTGTCCGCCAGGAGAAAGCGGAAGGTCACGGGTTCGATCCCCGACCCGCGTCATACCAAAAGACGTTAAAATATGGTACTTGTTGGTCCCTGCCTTGCGCTCAGCATTAATGGGTACAACAAGGACTGGTCGGCTCGGAGTCAGTATAATGTGTCTGAGTGGGGTATTCATGCTTCACTGCGGCATGGTATCTCAGTGGGCTAGCACTATAAAACCAGCTTAAGTCTGGGCTAGTACAAGCAGCCGCACATACACACGCATGCACGTCGTCATATGAGATAAATATTCTCAAGCACGACATTAAACCCAATTTCACCTCACCTCACAGGGGTGGAAATACGTTTAAAAATGCTAGTGTACTCCGGTACAATGGCACATGTAAAGTCACTTGCCCTGATTATTTTCCCACTATACCAACCGTTTTCTTGCTGATTTTTTAAATAAACAACATAATAAACATTGGAAAGTCAACTGGACACACCGGTACAGTGTGATATACAAATTTGCTTGCCCGACTGAAAAAAAACACTAGACTCGGACGTCGGGCAATGGGTAATTTCCACCCCTGCCTCACTTCATTATGTGTTTTTAAACTGTTGTGGTAAGAGATTGCTTCACTATGTGTGCAGTATTGAACAAAATATGCTCTTGTTACTCGGAAGAGCACATAGAAAGATACTTACTTTAAAGTTTTCTCACTTTATGAACCTATTGTGACATCATCCCAGTCTTTTTACAGGGTTTTCATTTTGTTATTTTTGCTTTTCCACACTTATTGGTTTATTTTTTCAACCCAAATTGAAGAGGAATGATTTCACTTTAACATCTGTCATTCAGTGTTATGTCCTTTTTGGAGATGCTCTCTTCAACCTTTTTTAACTTTTGACTAAAGTTGCTAATACTCTCAGGTTGTATGCAATGTATGAAGTCCATTTCTGGTGTCCCCGCTGTGATATTGCTGGAATATTGCTAAAAGCGGCGTAAAACTAAACTCACCCACTCCAATCTGTTCAAACCAAACAGTAGTTCTAACTCTTGCAGTAAAGATGATACTCTTAGATGTCTAGACATAAGTTGGGCATATTACTGGCCAATAAAGTTTGGACTGCCATTCATGTCTTGAATACTTAGTATTTTACAATTAGGCTCTGTAAGCGTTCTGTAACTTCAGCTGAAGTAAGAAAGCCTTGGCTGCACATGATTAAAGACATACTGTCACACACATAACATGAATGATTATTTGTATATTGGTGTCGCAAGGTTATAGTGTGTGTGGGAAGCAACTACGTCAACTCACTCACTCACTCACTCACTCAGGTTGTGTCATGTAAGACAGATGAATATTGTTCTCATGGCTCCATCTAACACAGATTCCTTTAATTTGCAGCTGGGAGTCTGCGGCAGATTCTACGAGAGACGAAGAAGAAGCTGCCATGGAAGACAACCGTCAACTATATGCAGCAGATCATCAGTGGTGTTCTAGCACTGCACGAAAGACAGATTGCCTACATCAACTGGACAGGTCAGTAGGAACGTAGCAGCCATCTGTGGGCTAGTGGCAGTTTCAATAATGAAAGAATTATTACCCTTCTGGTTTCCAAAGCATGAACTGCATAAAATACAAGAGATGTACTTGGAATTAATATGCTCCTTTTGTTGGTATATTTACACAGGATTAGGAAAGAGCATAATTTCAATGTTACAAAGTAGATGTGACACACGAAACAGGCTAGACCTAGATTTTTTAAACTCTCCTAGTGTTAAGCTGGTCGTAAATGCCATACATTAACATTAACTTACAACTATCTTAGCTCTAAGAGAGCTTCGAAAATCTTGGCCCTGGTTGGGCTTGTGTTTCAGAAACAGGGTAAAGTTGTTGTCTAATAGATAAAATTACATGTAAGTAAATGTCTTCATCACTGTATTTGTTTTAGTTTTCTTTGTCTGGCAATTCATATGGATCATTGTCAAGTTTTAATGTCTAAATGTTAAAATTCCTATTCTGAATATCAGAAAGGCATATAGAATTGGTGTCATTTTGGACATTGCATCAGGTTTGAGTGGTTCAGAGAAAACTGGCATCTAGAATATACACTGAATCTTTAGCTAGTTTAGTACTCTTTCATGTAACTTTGAAGGAGTGAGTGAGTTGGGTGTTATGCCGCTTTTAGCAATATTCTAACAATATCATGGAGGGGGAAACCAGAAATAACTTTACACATTTGTGTGGAATCAAACCCGGGTTTTTGGCATGACGAGCTAACGCTTTGACAACTGGGCTACCCCAGCCCCCCAACAGAAGAAACTGAAGTAACGGATGGCATGCATCAACCAAGTCAAAGAGCCTAACCACCAGATCATATTAGTCACTTCTTACGACCAGCAATGATTACTGAATACCAGTTATAACCAGTTTTTTGTTCAATGCCCTTGAGAGTAAGTGAAGGGTGAAGGAATTTGTACTGAATATGGCAGGGCTCGATTTAAGAGATGTCAACCTACTTGCACCAGGTGCAACCTAAGATAAAAACCTAGTTGCACCAGCCAAATTCCAGTTGCACTGCTTTTATTGCAATATGCAATGTAAGAAATATGGTATTGAATTATTTAGATGTTTTATTGAGAGTTTACCCACTCAAAAATTGAGTTGCACCAGGTGCAAGTTCAGCTAATAGCTAGATTGCACTTTGTAATATTGGGTTGCACCAGTGCAAGTAACAAAGTACTAAATCGAGCCCTGATATGGGAGACATTATTTTTTTATTTCAATAGTCTACCAAAAGACAAAACTTGATACAAGAAGCTGAGAACAATTCTTTGCATACGAAACACTGGAAACATGTCCAGTAGTGTCGCCTATAGAGTTGTACACCATGACTGTGAGTACATATTGCTAGAAAATCAATGTTTGTTTTCAGCTTGCAACATCTTGCTGGATGAGACACGCCAGGTGGCCAAGGTGTCGAACTTGTCCGTGTCAACGAGCCTTGAGTCCCACACTGTAGATTATGGGGGGATGAAACATGCATTGCCAGCGGCCATCTTGCCACCGGAGGTAGGATCTGCATTGCAAGTTTACACAGACTTATAACAGAGTCTTAGTTTCAGTGAAAGAGATAAATCAGACACGCACATGCTTACATGCTCCTGTATAAGTGCAAGAATCTTGAATGCGACATTAGACCCTATTCTACTTTTTAAGATGTTTCGCTAAAAGATCAAAGGCGCTGACAGTACTTTATCAGGCGATATAGTACACTTTTTGCATTACGTCACATTGTATTGACGTCACTGTGCCATTCTAATCTGCCCCCTCGTAATTAAACGTCCCCTTCGTAACCGACGTCATGATGCATGTCAGTTGTCATTGCCCACTACAGTGTCCTACTGTAAACTACTCCGTAGCACACTGTTTCTTGGTTTGCAGTTGCTTCACTTGGCTAACATCACTGGTTGAAACATTACATTTCCCTTTTTTCTACGGAAAAAATATCTCAGCTCAAATCACAGTTAAAATCACTGGTGACAATGTTTCTGATGGTCAGCTGTTATGGTGAGAAATGTTTCTGATGGTCAGCTGTTATGGTGACAATGTTTCTGATGGTGCAGCTGTTATGGTGACAATGTTTCTGATAGTCCAGCTGTTATGGTGACAATGTTTCTGATGGTCCAGCTGTTATGGTGACAATATAAGTTGTTCACTGATCATCAGGGCATGTATGCTGTTATGGTGACTATGTGTTTATATTCCTGATGGTCAGCTGTTATGGTGACAATGTTTCTGATGGTCAGCTGTTATGGTGACAATGTTTCTGATGGTCCAGCTGTTATGGTGACAATGTTTCTGATGGTCAGCTGTTATGGTGACAATGTTTCTGATGGTCCAGCTGTTATGGTGACAATGTTTCTGATGGTCCAGCTGTTATGGTGACAATGTTTCTGATGGTCAGCTGTTATGGTGACAATGTTTCTGATGGTCAGCTGTTATGGTGACAATGTTTCTGATGGTCCAGCTGTTATGGTGACAATGTTTCTGATGGTCAGCTGTTATGGTGACAATGTTTCTGATGGTCAGCTGTTATGGTGACAATGTTGATGGGTGTTATGGTGACAATGTTTCTGATTCTGATGTGACAATGTCTGATGGTCAGCTGTTATGGTGACAATGTTTCTGATGGTCAGCTGTTATGGTGGGACAAGATGTTTCTGATGATCAGCTGGAAGAAGGTTATGGTGACATATATTATAATGTTTCACTTCAGCATTCACTTCAGCATAGGTGCATGTCGAACTCTGTTTAGTCCTCAACAGTGGTCTCTTGCCCTGTGTTCAAAATGGTTATTGATTATTTTTACAGGAAAACACCACACTCAGATTGTTATCTTTTTATCTAACAATCATATCAGTCTGAGGTTTGAAACAATTTGGGATGGTGGGATAGCCAAGTGGTAAAAGCGTTCGGTCATATTGCCAAAGAAACGGGTTAAATTCTCCACATGGGTACAATATGTGAAGCCCATTTCTGGTGTCCCTCACTGTTGCCAGTCATGATATTATGTTTGTTTCACAGCTTCAGGGCAAAGTGCCACCTATACCCCAGGAACTCAGTAGATGGCCACAAATATTTCAAGCCTGTTGGCAGGTAGGTCTTGTTCTATTTGTATGCACATGTGTTTATGCTAGGGGTGTCGCGATACGCGAATGTATCGATGCATCGATACATTTTTACTGACGATACGATACGCGATACATGCTTGCGTGTATCGATTCCTATTTTAAAACTTTATCGATTCAAATTTTTATGCTATATCCATCTCCTTCAAAGTCTTGATAGTAACATTATACGAGACCGCTCCGATAAATAGATGTAGCTAGCTTTACTTAAAAAATAGGTTGGAAGCTAACAGCTTTTGTGATTGGCTAGACTATTTTGATGGACCAATCAGCGAGCGCGTACGCTGCCAGTAAGGTAATGCTATGAAAAGGCGCGAAAATTATGTATCGCGATACGTATCGTATCGTGACCTTAAAATCGTGATACGTATCGTATCGTGAGATTGGTGTATCATGACACCCCGAGTTTATGCACATACAAGGGCAGATGCAGATTTTTGGAAAATAGGGGAGGAGGGGCTGAAATTTCATTGAGTAATTGTGCAGTTTTGTTGAAAATATATCACTGGTGAGGATAATTGTGTTGCTTCCTTGAAAGCTTCCAAAGTCTGCATGTTTAATGAAGTGAGGTGAGGTGGAATGGGTATTATTGCAAGATTATTGCACTTCTATTACCACATACATGCTTGTTTGTGTGTCCATGTACAGTACAACCAGAAAGTATTGAGAATTTAAGATTGTAATTTTTTTTTTTTAATTTGACATTATTAGATTGGCCAAGCTATAGCACTGACCTAAATCCAATAGAAAATGTTTGGGGACTTATGAAGTGTCAATAAGAAAAATCTGACAAATATTGCTGAAATGAAAGAAGAGGTGGTCCGATATTGGGACAGCATGGACCATGACTTTCTAACTTCTTTGATCAGTAGTATGCCCTGCCGCATTGAAGCCTGCATTGCTGCCCATGGTGACTTGACAAAATACTAACTGTTCACCTGTCTTTGAATCTGGAGTTATGTTCTGCTAATATTCACATTTAATACGTGAGTAATGAGTGTATTTTGGGTCCGAAACCAGGCCTGTGAATGCTTTGAACGATGTTTTGGGTCGTTGTCCTGCTGGAAAATCAAAAAGAATTCCATAGAACACGTGAGCAGATGGAAGTAAAGTCCCTCGAAAATATCTGTGTACTGCTCACTGTTCATATTCCCTTCAAATACACAGAGGGGCGTTCAAGCAAACGATCAATTGTTAAGATGGTTACCTAATCATTTTAAGAAGTGAAATCTCAATCGATGTATAATATTTACTCTCATCTGCAGACTTGTAACAACTAATACCATACAGCCACACCGTGTGAGGAGTAAACTATTTAATCTAGGTGTTAATAAAAACATTATCAGATGGGTTAAAGAATTCAGGGTACATAGAACTCAGTATGTCAGTGTCAATGGCCATCAATCTTCTTTTCTCTCAACATCTACTGGAGATTCACATGGCTGTGTTCCTTCATCCGTACTCTTCGTTTTGTATACCAATGACTGTTACTTGTCAATATATGACTTGTTTACTGTGAAATTTGCAGATGACGCCACTGTTACTGGCCTAATTTCTGGTTCTGAACATTATTATCGTCAAGGCATTGACAAAACCGTAATGACAGTTTTTTATCAAACCTTTATTCAAAGTGTGTTGACCTACAATTTTCTATGTTGGTATGGGCATCTGTCTCATCTTAACAAAAACAGACTTTTCAAAATTGTTAATACTGCTTGCAAAATTTCTGGAGTGTATTTTGAGTATAGTAAAAAAGACAGCTAAAATTAGATTTGATAGTTGACATATTTGATCTCACCATTTTGAACTACTTCCTTCTGGACGCTGCTGTCGATTACCTTCCCTCAAAACAGATCTAGAGCTCGATAGTCTTTCATACCATCAAATATTCGTGAATGCAACAAATATTTTGAATCACCATCATGAGATTAGAACTAGAATTATTCAGCCTCTTTACCTATGTGGTTAATTGAATTATATCATGTCAGTTTTATTTGTAAATAGCATTCGTTTTGTGCATGTAATTATTGTGTATATTTTTATGAACTGTGTATATATTCATTTTGAGACAGTTTGGATGTATGAGAATTTCCTCCGGGATAATAAAGTTATATCTTTTTCTTAATATTAGACGTTAACGGCCGCTCATGCTTAGCACATGGCAGACAGTCCGTCAACGTCAATAATTCGAGTTATTTCCCCTTTTCGAGTCCTCGAGTCCATGAAAATGGACTCCAGTCCAGCTAAACCCGACTCTTCCTCAAGTACTCGAGTACCCGTGGAAGCCCTAGTCTAGTCAAGAATCCATTTTTTAAGAAATTTAACAGTGGTACTTATTGCCATCCCACATTCAGAGTATTATATGACTGGCCATCTTGGGTGCAGTATTATTCGTCATGAGTCTGGTATTTATCTCTAAGTCAGTCCCAACTGATATGACTGGCACGTTCAGAATTGGTGAATCAGATAAGAAGAAACTTTATGTATGAACAACTATTTATTAAGGTGATTCTTGTATCGTTTTCAAGCCCTACATACTTGCAAGAATCTGTATCAAAATGTCGCGTCACCTTAATAAGAAGTTGTTCATCCATAAATTTTCTCCTTATCTGCCCCCACCCTACCTGGAACAACCTTTGTAATGATGCCACACTAATGTCTTTACCTTCAGCCGGGACTTCAGATGCGGCATCCATTGAAACACATCCAGCAGATGTTGACAATGACCTTGACCGCCAGGAGCTAGACCAGACAGCAGATGCGGACGTCACGTGTGGAGGATGGACAGACTGACCCTTCACTGACTCAATCACTTCTGAAGCGATGTTGCACATCTATGCCTACAGCAAACAGCATCGAAAGGTGTCAATCACTGGTGTGGGCAGAGCAGACGTCCACCGCTTTGTGTTCTGGAAGGGAACTTTGGAGACCTTAGCATAACATCTATGCTTAGCATAACATCACTGCCACAGGCTAATTTGCATATCACGTGACCGGACTTTTTCTCTTGTTTGTAAGCAAACGTGCATATTCATAATAAGAAGTGACTGGAATTACGCAAGCTTTTCGGGGCACCCTTCACAATGTTTTACATTGTTACATATATATTCTTCCACAACTGCGACAGTAAGATTTATGACAGACATATTTTAGATATTTAACTGGCTGCATCGTTTGCTCTCCGACAGCTTTGATGACAGCACGTGGAGCCATACAACCTATGTAAACAAAGCATCACTACGCAAATCGAAATAGTGTTACATGTTTTAGGATATTTTCTCAGTGAAACTAGACCATTGTATCAAATATGTTCAATTAGATGTGTAGACTCGTCAAAATTAAAAGAGTTTAGAAATATGTACATTGTATTGAAAGGACTGTGCAAGAAGTGACGTATCGTCACATCTTTCTGGCCTTTGGCAGAGGTACTATGCTGGCTTGCCGCATGGAACTCTGGGTAGGAGAGTGGGAATAGTCCTGAATGTCACTTGGTGTAGAGTAAGGGACAACTAGTTGGTGATTAATGGATGCCTGGCAGCCTTTTTGGATGGTATTAATCTTTGCATACTCACCAAACAGCATCGGAGACGGTACCTGAGAATCATTTGGTGTTTGTGATTTTTGGCTTGGCAGTCTTCTTGGATGGTATTAATCTGTGCATACTCACCAAACAGCATCAGAGACAGTACCTGGGAATCACTTGGTGTTTGTGATTTTTGGAGGCTTGGCAGTCTTCTTGGATGGTATTAATCTTTGCATACTCACCAAACAGTATCAGAGACGGTACCTGGGAATCACTTGTTGTTTGTGATTTTTGGAGGCTTGGCAGTCTTCTTGGATGTTATTGATAGGTGCCTCTGACCAAATAGCATCAACAGCTCCTGGAGAAGGTAACCCAGAATCACTTGATGTAAAGTTAGGAATGACTAGTTCATGCTTTATGGAGGCTTGTCAGTGTTACAGAAATGTGCCTCATCAAAAATGTGCATCAATAATTTCAAGAGGCATTACCTTTAAATCACTGGTGTGTGTAGACTGAGACCTTGTAGGACACAAAAAAATATGTTTCCAGTCTTGTGGTTTGGCCAAAACGTTTATGTTGGGAAAGGCGGTAAGAGTAATCTGCCCTTGGATAAAATTATTAAAGGGTCATTGCCTTGAGATTTGCGCTATACTGACTTTAGCTCACCCAAACCAAAGGTTCATGGATTTAATTTAACAACTTTTTTTTTTTTTTGGTTATTTCATAGAAGATGTGCTACATTTTCAGAGCCTTATTGTTCTATTCCACACAGCTGTTTTTGGTAATCGGAGAAATTGTAAAATGGAATAACCATACATTGTAATAAAACATATGTTTTTTATATTTATTGAAAAATTATATAAACTGTATATACATTGATTGTTCATTGTTTTAAAACTGTTGACATAGTGCACTGTAAATATGATAGGTTGTACATCGCCTTTAATGCATTTATAATGTTGATCCTGCCCATTTTGGTCACTTTTTGCATTTCAGTTATTTTTGTGCTTAAGTAGGCATTTAATGCATTAAGTATGGGTGAACTCAGTGTGTTCTTTTAAGAGTGTTCAATATTTTATGTGCCCTTAATCAAAATTATTGATGGTGGCGATAAATCAAATTTCACATCAAATGTTAATTAGAAATGATATTCAATAATTATACATGAGCACATTTTATAATTAATACACAATAATTAGGTAGTTTCATTTATATACCTACTAGTTAAAAATCATTCAGGAACAACTTATTCTTTCATATAAGTTAAATGGTCATGATATGATAAATTAACTACGGTAATATGATCTTTTTTATGATCCTTTAGTTTTTACTGAGTACTGATGAATAAATGCTTAATTTGAAATCAGTAACTTAGTTCTACAGTGTCTGTAAAGTTTAGACAAGTCATCATCAGTGAATAAGTACCTGAAACAAATTACCAGTGATTTAAGATGAAATCCCTTTGGAGTCTAGACACTAGTGTTCTTTGTATTTTCTGCACTTCCATTTGCTTACTGTACTTTGTTTTATCCCATCATGCCTCATTTGATGAGGATTTAGTTCTCATGATGACTTTTCTTCAAGATGGTGCTTCTACATCATCAGCCTAGTGGGTGTTTAGGACAAGAGCAAAGAACATTCATATTTAGTGCGTCATAACAGAATGTCATGTTCATTTGTCATGTGTCAAGAGAAAATGTCATGTTCACATGTGTCAAAAGAAAATGTCATGTGTCAAAGAAAATGTCATGCTCACAGGCCATGTGTCATAGAGAATGTCATGCTCACAGACCATGTGTCTAGAGAAAAGGACATGTTCACAGGTCATGTGTCAAAGAGAATGTCATGTTCACTAGCCATGTGTCAAAGAGAATGTCATGTTCATGAGCCATGTGTCAAGAGAAAATGTCATGTTCACGGGCCATATGTCATGATAGAATATCATGTCAAGGCAATACAACCGTCTATGCAATACTAAGCTGTGCCATGGGCTCTATTTAGTTTGTATGTCCTGTTCCATGTTGTCTATTGAACATGTGTTAACATCATATTGAATACTCCTGTTTGTGGCGTGACAAAGATAGTGATCTGACAACTGTTTGGACAAAGGCATGATATAATGTTTCTCTATTCTCTACAATTTCTGGTGTATTGCTAAAAGCGGCATAAAACTAAACTCACTCTTCTCTACAGCCATGTATTGCAGTGTATTCATGCTACTAGGGGTAGCCTAGTGGTAAAAGTGTTTGCTTCCCACACTGAAGATCCGAGGTTCAATTTCCACATGGGTACAATGTGTGAAGCCCATATCTGGTGTCCCCCACCATGATATTGCTGAAAGCGGTGTAAAACTAACTAAACTCACTCATGCCATGAATGCAGTATAACTTGCTGTATGCTGCTCTCTGTGAAATGCTGATACTCAATAACAGTAGCATGTCTCACAGATGTCCCACTTGTTAGCATGAATGGTGATTGTATAAACCTGATCATAATATGTATGTGTTCAAATGTTTTTGTCGAATGTATATGCTCGTTATCTGTTTAAGCATAACTTCTGTGATATACTTCATCTTTGTGTCTTAAAATGTGATAAGTCCTTGATCCCAAAGTGCTCATGGCAGAAAAATTAGAAGAACGTGTAATATTTGAAAAATAATTTAGCCCTTATTTTTGAAAATTTAGAGTATCTGGGAAATTGTAAATTCAAATTGGGAATGTTGACAGTCAATGTGTTGCAAACTTGGGTCCATATATCAGCTTCAAAGCAGGTCAAGATATATCCCTACTCTTTGTGCCAGTACAAACTGGGTTGAAGTCACAATGACTCTTGTACAGAGATATGTTAATGTAATGATGGTACCCATGCAATATGCATATATTTCAGTCCATTTATGACACAGAGACAGACAGTGGTAGCAGTATGTTTATTACCATATGCCATTCTTAAAATAATTGAAAACAATGCTTGTTTAAGACATAACATTGCTTGGTAAAGTAATTTAAAAGCCAAAGTATTAAATACGATGTTAAAAGCACCAATTGCTCACACCATTTATGATATTTGCACCTGCGTGTGTCTGTAGATTTGTCATACACCAGGACAGTAATGTACTGTTTTCTTCCATTGTCCATTAGTGGTGTTCCAATTAATTGAAATAATCGAAGATTGGTCGCAGTGACTAAACGACCCAGCAATTGATCATGTTTTCTTATAATCAAACACAAGCAATTTTGGAACACTTGTTTGCATCAACAATATTTTTCACAAAGTTGGTTTTGTCCGTGTTGCTGAATTTACAAAACATGAGCACTACGAGCTTGTTCAAAATCATGATTGAATGTACATGTATGTTGAAAGACTCCAGGAAATGTATGTTCCTAACACACTAGTCATCCTTAAAGATGTGAATTTTGCAAATGCATTTTGTGCAATTTTCAAAAAACAGCGAAAGAACTACATTTTTTTCTTTATTTTATTGTGCATTAACAAACATAACACGATAATTTGATAAGTGACACTAACCAATTATTTTCGATGATTGATCGGTTCTAATGAACCAATCAATTATGAGATTTTAACCAATTCCCAACACTATTGTCCATTGTGAAAGGTGAATAGTTCACAGTGTTGTCCTGTTTGGGGCAGACATAGATAATTGACTAAGTATGTGTAGTCATGGCAACAGTTTCATAAAATGTAAATATGACAAAGCATTGCACAAAACAATAAAGATGGAATGACATCACCATAGATGTATATAATGCTTCTGAGAATGGTGAGAATATAGACAGTGTAGGAAAGATGTAGAAAATCTAGCCTGTCCACAGGACTGGCAGGTCAAATTTGTTACCAGTCCTGCCAAAATCTGGCCTGTCCTCCAAATATAAATAAAACACCTTCGGCAGTAAATATTCAAAAAGGTTATAATCATTATATATATGTCATTGGTTTGCTAAAATTGACCCGACATGAGGACGGACTAGATATTTTTTTAACCCGTCCTCCTCAAAATTCACCCGTCTCGGACGTTGGGACGGGCTATCTTTCCTACACTGATATAGAGCTGTTTCTGTTGTGAGTGATTGTGAAATGTTTTACAGCTTGATCAGAGTAACAGTTTCCTTCAGGTAGGGGTGTGACAATATAGGAAGTAGTGTAATGCATAACATGGTAAACATGGTAGACAAGCCATGACAGTAGCAGTTGGTTGCAAACTGATTGGTGTATACAATTTAGAGACATGTTTAAAGTATTTTGATAAAAACAAAGAATAATTAACTTCAGGATTTATGTGTGTCTCCTGGAAGCAGTTATTCCATCCCAGGTTTCAGCTCTCTTCGTGAGTGGTAATTTATTATAGGATGGTTGGCTGCCGGTGATATTTTCATGAAAACATTCATAGTGAAAGAGTGTTTGCATGTTATCAAATTTAAACATAACCAGATATGTGGATGTGGTAATGACAGGTTTTTTTTCAAACAAAAATTATATATAAATTTGTCCTTATTAGGTACATACATAATTAAATGGTTCATGTATGGGTTGGGGTGGCATGATATACTACTACATATAATTAAGTTATGATAAATATGATGTGCCCCAGGCAACCCTGTAATAAATGACCAGTTCCTTTGGGTGCATCCATGATTCAAGGGCAGGTAACTGAGCACTCTGTTAGCACCACACTGTCGAGAGTTACCTGGAACATCTGATTTCTTTGTATCATGCTTACCTTACTGGGGAGGATGTTGCATCATTGATTTTAAAAGATTAAAAAACAGGATAAAAGAAACACAGTGCTTGATGAAAAGGTATTTAGAGAATATTTAGTTGCTTATTGTGAAGTGTTTGAAATTGTCACACCCCTAAATCATGATCCAGGTAAGAAGTCCCTCAGTAACATATGTAACCAGAACCAGTGTTCATTGTTTGGGCTCATCCTGTTCATCACCAGATTGTCTCGTCCAGACTGCCACCATATGGTGGCGCGTGGTCCTGTGCACAGAGCTCAGGTCACAAATCAGTTGAAGTTAAGCAATGTCGAGCTCAGACAATCCTTGTATGGGTGACCGTGTTTGGCAGCTTGACTCCTGAGAGTTTCTAGGACTTCAGTCCTGCCCCACAACGAAGCACATGGGATACATGTGGTCTCACCTTAGGCAAGTGAGTTTGTTCAAATTGCCTCTGTTCACTCAGCAGAAAATGGGTACCCGGTTGGATAAAGTCATATGACTAACCTTCTAGCCTAACAGGCAGCTTGGCTTATCCAGGGTAATAAGAATCAGATTCTGATTAAGCGCCGCGAGCCATCACTAGGTGTTTGGAGACTGCACTATAGAAGATGACTTATTATTTATATAGCTGAAATATTGCTGCGTACAGTGTTAAACAACACACCAACCAACCAACCAACCACTGTTTGGGCATTTAAATACTGACTTGGAGCACAGTTGTAAAAGAAAATGGCTGTATCCTCAGAGTGTGTAGAATCTCGTGTATAAACTTTTGTATTATATTTTTTCAAGGTCATTGCCTTAGTATTGTATATGAGAGAGTGAGTAAAAGTTGGACATCAAAGTAAAGCCACATACAAATGTATATATAGTGGTGTCATATTATCCTGGGATGAGTCTTCGTTGTGCACGTGCCCCACTCCCTTGTCAGGATATCGGCATTCATCGATGGGTTCGATTCCCAACATGGGCACAATTGTTAAACCCTTATCTGGCGACCTGTTGCTTTGATCTGACTGGGGATATCTGGGATGACAGGGAAATACACCCGGCAAAGATGGGAGACTATGGTGTGTATATTGTACATTTTGGGAAGTCTTTCTCCTGAGTAACAGTAGCGATGGACTCATCTTTGCCAAAACGTCTGGAACTGTCAACCTGGAACTGAATCAATAGAAGGAGGGACTCCTATTTGCCAAAGCATGACTGGAACTGCCATATGTTTGAATTTGTTTGGAATTGGTAAAGACAAGTCCTTCCCTGTTTGAGAGTCATAGCGTTTTTGTTTAAGCTTGCAAACTGCTTCTAGTAGACATTTATCAGTTGATTCTTAGCAATCTCAGATTATTATGCAGCCTTGCCAGATCATGATAACAGTGTGATTGAGATTATAGATATAGGAAATAAAAGCTACATATTTTACACTGTTGCATTTTGTTTGTTTATGTTACACAACCTTATGAATGATTGTCTGTCAACACATTACTGCATATACTACTCACACTTTGCTAGGATCACAAAAATTCACAACTTTACTTAAAACGTAGATTTATAATTTGAAATTGTATCCATTTAAAACTTTAATCTAACCTTATGCACTTGATACATTAGTAACCATAGAAATGGTTTTCATGGCACCAATCAACCATTTTGCAATTCATGGAACGAGTCAGTGACAAGTACACAACACCTGTCCATAGCAGGTATGGGTTCCACCAGATGAAATGACATACTGAAACCTAGGATCCATGCTTACAATAAGCTTAGATATCTACACCAAATTTGACCCCACATCATAGTTTTCTGTTGAATCCATGATTTGATCCTTAGCAAAGTGTGAATAGTATAGATCCTGTGCCTAGACTGACATCTAGTCTGTGAAATGAACATATTTTACAGAAAAAAAAGGGTTCATAAATAATAATCACAAAATATAAATATTACTGCGAGCAGCGATGAGGGCTTTTGGGCTTTAATATTCAATTAGACACTTTTACCTGTCTTGTAGTGTCGAAGGTAATAATGACTACAATTAATAGGGATCATATCTCTGCCAGTAATGGGAAATGCGTGAATTCTTATTGTCCAGTGTTAGATACAAAGGATTGTGTAGTATGTTTGGATTATGACACTTCTGGCTTTCGAAACAGATGCTGATTTTATTAGAGCTTCATAGTGTAACAGCTATAACGCTGAGAAAACGACTTACTGTAGGGTGTGAATCCGTTTATTCCTTACATCACAGGAAGAGGTAGCAGAAGAATACCCTGTAAACATTTCATTTACATATATTAATATCACAATGTTTTGGTTTGTTTTTTTTTATCACAAGGGTATTAGTACAGATTCATTTGTAACAATTGGTTGAGAAAAGGGAGACAACTGAAGCACATATAAATCATGGTCACATTGAGCGATATGCACATCACATTGAACTAAATAGATACATTGATAACAAATATTTTTCCTTTTCAGTTAGTTCACAAATATGACCATACTGAGTGTGAAATAAGAACTTATGCACATTGGTTACATTTTCCAGAGGAGAATGAAATAGTTACACGTTCACATTATATTCAAAATTTGCTCACCCGTCTATAAGACGAAGCTACTCCTAGACATCAGCTCGATGCGAGTCATGTGCTTAGAAGCTAATACAATAAAGTGAAAACAAAGTTAACATGAATCACAATGAACCCATCACTCTCGCACAGAAGTGAACATCATATTCTCAACAGTCACCACCACAGCGCTCACAGACTACACCCATGCAAGAAACATTATGTATAATTGCAATCCAATTGAGGCATTAAAAACTTTACAGCCTATCACGGATAAGCACAACATATTTACATATCAAAACTGCCGACATTAGTTTATATTAATAGACGTTTTTAGTCTAGAACTTTATTTTATATGCATTAGTGAGATATTATACCCTAAAACTTCAGAAACCATTCTACAACCAAATATAACTAACCTGGTGACTCCTCTGACTCGTCCTCACATTATCAGCTCACAGAATGCAATGAAACTCACAAGACACCACGAGGTATGATCATGTTGAAGCAGACGATCCAATCAACCAATCAAAATCATCCGTGTTATAACAAAGATTCCCATAAACATGAAATGCACGTGGAATGCATATTCATTAACCTGGCCTACACAGGACAAGCACAGATAATACTGTTGGCCACAAAACTGTATAACACCACCAACAAATGTTTTTATATGATTTTTTTATTGACATTTTAAATAAAACAAAATATATAATACAAAGTGAAATGTCACTGCTACAAATGCTCCTACATTCAACTGCAAATTATCTATTTGTTTTAACTGAATGGATGACATCACCACCAGTTTTGACAAATGTATGCTCAGAAAAATAGAAAATTTTGTAGCCTTAGCTAAAAAAGGTACAAGTTGTTTTATAGGCATTCTAGAAGTTGGTGAGTCAAAACATGAAACATACCACTTTATGGATGGCAAATTTTTGTTTATTGCATTAAGCAGCGTTTTGATGTAGATTCTTACACGGTTATCAAGTTAAAAGTGACTGCAACCAGGGATACTCTACAACCTTACATAGCCTCCCTGCTGCAACCAAATGATGGGAAGTGTTCATTGTGAATCACAGTATACGGATTAAAACGTAAGTCTATCTCAAACAACAAAACAAACATTTCCAGTAATCTTAATTTCAACAGCATATAGAAAAATTACCAAGCGCCTTCTATTATACTGTCGCAACTGATCGTTTTAATCAACAGCAAGTAAGGTATTTCTATACTTAGTGTCAGTATACGTTATACTGTTACGCTATCACGCTATCGCAACTGTACTTGTGAACCCAGAGCAAGCAAATATACTGGGAGTACACATAACACTGTAAACAGGTCACTTTAACCATAAACAAACTGCAGGAGAACTTCTTTGAGAGGCATTTTTAGAAGTTGTATAGATGAAGGAAAACCAAGTTCTATGGATAGTCAACTTTTTTATTGCAATGAGTGCGACGTTTCGGTGTAGGTACTAACACTGTTATCAAGCAAGTGATACAAAGAGTTGTAACATGGAGAATATATACATGATATTGGCGTGGTTTGAGACTTGTCCGAGCTGGCGAGGAAGTGCATGAGGATTCCTGGCGGGAAGAGCATGGTAATGTCGCAGCAGAAGTTGCAGGCTTTGCTCGACGTTTGTTTTGTACGACGTCGTCGACAACCTTCAGCAACTGGTCGCTTGTCCGTTTGTACCTGTAGGAAGGAACACAGTATTAATCTGTCCTATCGGTATGCACAATGCATGATAACATTCTTCTGAATTATACATTGGGTTTTAATAATGAAACCTAACACATCTTATCATAACTTTCAAGTTTGGATATTAAATTTTAAAACATTGGTGTGTTTTTCAGTACGTATGAATGAACGCGCGTATATATTAGATAAAATACAAATGAGAGTTACCTCTATCTCTGATTGCCGAGGATCTATGTCCGGTTCTTTCTGGCGATCAGCTGCTCGTCTATGCCGGACTCGTATAGGCGTGCGGCTGTCGTAGCTCGGAGAGAATGGTTTGTGAAAAATCCCATTTCGCACAGCAGCCTCTTCACAACGCCAGACAAAGGTGTGCCTCCCACTGCCACTACGGAGCAGTACCAAGTGTCAGGCTTGGGGTATTTCAAAGCACGGACGTAAAATGCGTCGCACTCACTTGGTCTGTTCAAGAAAGCGGTAAAACGTTTTGTTATAAAGACAGACTCTGTGTTTCGAAATTCGTCATGCAACAGAGAAAGTGGGCTTGCAGCGCAAATTCAAAGTATGTTCTAATTCTAAAACGAAAAGTAAACGCTTATTAGATTTATTAAACGAATCAAACCCACTGTCAACTGGCAACGAATAGACTTTTAGGGTTTGTTATGCGATTTGTGTGATTAGAAGACCATATCATGATGAAGACCATATCATGATCAGTCAGGTAGAAATAATACGTAACAACCTTTCTTTGAATGAAAAACTTCATACATTGGCATACAGTACTACGTGAACAGTAAGCACGGATCAACGCCGCTTTGAGCACTATTCCAGCTATATTACGGCGTATCAGCTAAAAGTGGAAGGAAAGCTCCAAATGTCGAATGTGTCGCGCGTGTAGAACTTCCTGGCATGCACAAGGGACGCAACTCTGCATAGCGAACAGTGGCATCTGAGACTACCCCTTTCTGTCGTAATCATGCAAGGATTAGAACTTTGTGGGTGCCTTTTCAGCAATAATAGTTGAGAGTTATGCCAACAAACCGATTGGTGAGGGTATTAAAATACATTGTGCGGCTTATATCACTGCAGTATAACAATAACTATTGTGAACGCCATTTTCATGGGGGTGTGTGAGTGTGGGGTGCGGAATTGTGAGATGTTGGGGCATGAGGTGTGAGTGAGTTAATATTTAACGTCACAGCGGCAATATCTCAGGCAAATGGTGACGAGAACAATCTGTACAAAATAAATTAATGATGAATTGTAAAACCCTGTCAACAAAGGACAGTAAAATTACAAGAATATCACAGTTATGAACGTGAAACTAGACATGAAGAAATAAAACATTTCAATTTAGGAACACGTTACAATATAAAACATGGGCTATAGAAGGTTGACCACCATAATTAGGGTCCATGGGGACTTATGTAAGGTGTGAAGATGTTAAGGTTGTGGAGGTGCAGGATGTTGAGGTGTGGGGGTGGGGATATTACAGTTACACTATATCAGCACAAACCTTAATGACATGTACTTCTCATAAATCCTGACAGGACATCGTTAGGGATTTTCCTTATTTTCTGCAACTTCACCACACTTAGGACTTACATTTTGTGTTTCTGTTGCGGACCACAGCTACGCTGTATGTAAAAATAGTGTCGTCAGAATCTGCCGAAATCCAATATGACCGCCAAACAATTCGCATTTTGACATGCACCAAAGAACAAAAATGTTCTGTTAGTGGAATTGTAATCACAGATTTATTGTGGAGATGACATTTGTATGTCATCTTGATGTGACGTCACACGCGGCGCACCAGGCCTTGCCCGTCTGTTGCACTCGGGTCCTCTGACTGTTTACTGGCTGACGGATCGAAGCAGATCTGTTGGGAGCATAAAACACTAATCACTTAGGGGCCGTTCATAATGTATGGCTGGTGTGTGTGTGTGTGTGTGTGTGTGTGTGTGTGTGTGTGTGTGTGTGTGTGTGTGTGTGTGTGTGTGTGTGTGTGTGTGTGTGTGTGATGATTTTATGGCAGAAGCATGTGCAATGTGAACGAAACCCCTCTAAAATTTATGGTCACGATATGGCTGGAGATATTGCCGATGTGACGTTAACATTAACTCACTCACTCACTCACTAAAATGTATGTACAAAATAAGTGAATCCCCTGCATGTCATGTACAAAATCAATGACCCTCCCTTCCCATAATTTATAAGCATAATTTTATGTACAAAATTGCTGACCCCCAAGTACATGTGTACAAAATTGCTGACACCCACCAGAGACCATATAATAGAGGGACGGCCCTCCCCAACAGTTTATCACTAACCATCAGCGCTACGGCCTGGCATGTAACTGATACACATCTGACACCCTGTTAAAGAACCACTAAACTTTGTTTTGTTACTCTTTTAACCATTACATATGAAAGATTTGTGGTTAGTCTTATGCGGAACACCAAATTTATTCTTTAAAAAACTTGTGGTTAATTAATACCGAGCGATTAAAGTGGCCAAAAAGTCGCCTGCTTCCTCTCGCCCGCCAACGAAACCACAGACAGGTTACGTAACTCTGTCGCCAGAGCACCGCAGTGACGTCATATGAGGAACGATTTTCAGTTAGTTGTATAGAAAGTGTGTAGCACGCTCATCATTTTGATGATTTCTCGACATCAACGACGACATGCCGAATCGTTGCTTTGTCGTCAATTGCTCTAAGGGTCGGGTGATGGTGTCACCATGCACAGATTTCCACAGGATCCCGCAGTTCGTGCTAAATGGGTTATGTTTGTGAGTGCGAAGCGAGCGTTGTGGAAGCCTGAAAGATATCTTACTTGTGTTCAGATCGCTTCACGGAAGTTAAAGAATCAAAACTACTTACTAGTTATAGTAAAATATGTATATGATTGATGACCATAAAGATTTTCAATAACACAACTTGTAACATAACGATTTCTTCCTCGGAAGTGAGGTTGTGGTCGAAGTAACAATAATATTGTAAGTAGTATTATATTGACACCCACCTCGCTGCCAGGAGAGAAATTGTTCTGTCATAAGCTATGTCATGCAAAATCCTATTGGCCATCAATAAAATACATATTTTACTACCAGTAGAAAGTAGTTTTGATTTTGTAACTCGGTGAAAACAAACCTAAATAGCATTTATCCACAGACTGGCGGATGTTCCCGATAGGGCGCCGCCATTTTGAAAATCGTAAAGTCTGTTAGAATTAATGAGATTATAGTTTGTTTTTCATCCAAAGTATGAGAAAATCAAAAACTACTTTCTACTCATGGTCAAATATGTATTGAAATCATAACCAAAAAGGGTTTTGCATGACACAACTTATAACATAACGATTTCTTCCACGGAAGCGAGGTGGGGAGTCGAAGTCACAATACTGCGCGATAAATTTCTTGCTACATTCACATGGTTAATGTCCACTCACCAGTATGTAGATACTAGTCAATGTGCGTCTTTATATTTGGTCTTATAATCCTAATTAGTTTATTATCATACTTTTATGCATTTTGAAACTAAATAAAAAGCTGACGATCTGCTGATACTTATAGTGAATTTATAACAGAACTGTAATATCTAGACATTTTATAGTTTGCCAATGTGAATCATAATTCGCACACACACCCTAGTGTATGTTGTCTGTCTCATTACACTTCACGGCGAAAACAATGATTCTGTTGAATGCTACGACAAATGATTAAAAAAAAAACA